TCCTACAAATATGTTGTATGAGTACATGCGCGAAAGCATGCATGCATGTTATACCGTGCTACGTGCAAGCTGTGTGCGATCGTAATTTCGTGAACATTTTCAATTGCGGGTTTGTTGATTTGATATTTTTATTGCTGCTTCTTCGATTAGACTGTTCGCTAGCCAGCTGGGTGACGTAGTTTATTTTTATTTACGAACGTCGATTTGTTTGTACACGTTCGCCAGCTAGAGAACTACGACTGAGCGTGCACCTGGTTTTAAAGGTGTTGAGTAAGTGAGTTGAACAATATCGAGCTTATAAACAAGACGATACAGTAAAGCTGTTTGTTTCAACTCTAGTGTTTTGTTCGTCGTGTGATTAAATTTTCTTCTTTAACATTTGTTTTGTTAATTGGATATTTCTAAATAAAATACAAACTAATAAGTGAATTTTATCATGGATCATCACAAGAAAGGCAAGCACAACAAAGAACACAAGAAACACAAGGACCACACAAAATATAGTGATCCCCATTACAAAGGAGGCAGGTCCTCCTCTTCTTCAAGCAGCAGTAGTAGCAGCGACTCTGGAGATGAACAAAAAAAGCAAAGAAAGTTAGAAAGGAAGTTGAGGAAACAGGTTACTTGAAAGTTTTTTCAATAATTTGGTCTGTTTGGTGTTCTGTTCGTTGATCATTGCCGAAGAATATAAATAATTTATTTTTCATTGTGAAAGGGTGGGCATCACGGAGTTCATGGGTATCCTCACATGCCGCAACCAGGACATCCAGGCTACCCAGGACAGCCAGGCTATCCAGCTCAACCGGGCTATCCAGCTCAACCGGGCTATCCAGCTCAACCGGGCTATCCGGCCCAGCCGGGCTATCCAGGACATCCTGGGCAGTCAGGCTACCCTGGACAACAAGGATTACCTGGACATCCTGCGCCGTATAATTCAAATCCTCCGTATCCTGCATATCCACAGGGGCAGCCAGGTGCGTCCCCATTTACAGTTCCTCCTGGTGAACATTTTTATTTTTCTGTTTTTTGTTTTCCATTAACTTTTTTTCATCAAAACTTTTAAATCAATCGTAAAATAGCGCTTATTTAATGTACAAAAATTGTAAAATGTAAATTAATTTTTATCGTAATTTTGAATTTAGTTATGAAATGCTCTAAATATCCACAAAATTATTATCTCCAGTGTTTTTCATCTGCACGTAACGAAATAGGCATTGACAACCAATTTCAATTCATTTGACACTTAATATACCTTTGTAAAAAAAAAGGTTGCTATTGCAAACTGGTCACGTAACGCAAATGAATTTTCCATTCACAGGTAGTGGTGGCTACCCCATGCCTCATAAATGATGATATGATCACATCACTAAACCTCCT